AATGTTTTTTATCTCAGTTATAATACTCTATAATTACAATCCTAGTACTTGGTTGATTACTGAAATTACTCTAATGAATTAATTATTCAAAATTATTATCTGCTCAATCAGTGCCTAAAATAATCAAGATTTGTTCCAACCACTCCCCCAGAACTCGTCTACAGTCAATCACCAATTGTAATTCAAAAACAGGCAGCCAGTAGATGCTTGGCACTGAAGCAAAGGGAAGTGGAAGGTGGAGATAGTAGAAAAAAGGCGCACTGCTCTCTAGAAGCCTAATGGCTAAGCGCGCTCACCACCACTCCTTTAGTCTAGTGCCAACAAATAATCAATTGAATTATTATTACTGATTATTACTGAGTCCCCCTAATCCCGTTTATTTACTTATTTATATTTAAACAATAAAATAACTGCTTATGACTGGGAATGCCGCTCGTGTGGCTGTGCAGCTCGTGCAAGCATTGGTGTTGCACCCCCCTTTTGACATGCAAGCACCCAATCAATGATCAATCGACTATTATAACATGCAGACTGTAAGCAATAATATTAATACTGTAATGAAATTAAAGAAATTTAAAGGAACTATAGGTAAACAGCCAAACCGAGGGGATCCACTGATGAGCTGCGAGAACCTTGCAACCACTACATAGTTGGTCAAGATCCAAACAGCAAGTCTGCTTCTCTCTGCCAATGCCAGTAGGAAAAAGGAAGCAAAGAGGGGGGGAACAGCCCTTAAGTAGCCTATCATTCCCCCCATTTCCAAAGCTGCTCATGTGAGACTTACCAGAGATCTCACATCCTCCAGGGAAGGCAGCAAAGGTAAGCCACGCTGCTGAAGCTCCGGCTCAGCAGCAGCTTATTCATTGCCTCTATTTCTTTAATCTTAGAAAAGCAGACTATATTGTTGTTGGAAGATTAGATAATGGAAACTCAAAGTGAGCAGAACTTATTCTTTTCTTAACACGAGACTTTTGTTTCTTTGATCATGTCTTGCATTGTACTTTATGAAGAGGACAGTGTTGTTAATTGCTGAACAGGACACTGTGATAATAAATTCATCCCTAGAAGAAGATGACTTTCAAAAATTAGAGGCTCTCAGATTTTATCTTCATGGATATGTTCATGGAGGCTTATAGTGCAGTCATAACCATGCTTACTCAGGAGCAAGTCTCACTAATTTCATATACTCTCTACTAACTGCGCATAGGACTTCAAACTGAGACAGTTTATTCCTATACTACTGGGCAGGGTCTTGCAGTCTCTGTACTAGCAAGCTATAGCTCCTCCTTTCGTTCTGGGGTATTTCACATTAGACAGCACAGTAATAACAGACCAATATGCCATGATCTAACATAGAGTTGGGTACCATTAATCCTGCTGAATTTTAGCACTGCCGTCTTATGCTTGAGTCACAGTGCTCCAATACAACTGCAGCCTAGACAGTTTCCCATCAACTGAATGGAAGGGAGAGAGATGTGGCGTTTTTCTATTCTTCCAATGTATTTGTTTTCAAATACCCTAGAACTGTCCTAA